TCCCACCCCACCGCCCCCTTCTCCTCCAGTTTCTATTGCTGCTGTTACCACTACAACTCCTTCTCCACCTCCTCTTCCATCTCCGAGTGCCCTCCCTGTTGTTCAGGGAGATTTAGAAGGAGAGGAGAGCATAAGAACTACTCTTAGTGAAGAGGTAAAAGATACTGAAAAGAAGGAAGAGACAGAAGCAGATGGGCAACTGGAGGAGAGCATAGAGGCTCAGAGTGTGAACTCAAGCAAGAGTCCTGTCCCAGGTAAGTGTGTGGCACTGTGGTTTGATGTGGGGCACTGGAGGATGAAGGAAAAGGGATCTTTGGGTTCTTCTTCCAACAGATGTTTCTGTTAGAAAAAAAAATATCTGATGGTGCTGCAGGGCTGTTACTGTGATTGAAAGATGCTAATCTTTGTTTGCAGGGACTAAAAATGCTCATAATTGTTCCCGAAGGAGGTCACTGGCTTGGATGTGTATCCCAGGGTTGATTGGGTGCGTGTAAGCCAGCAGCATTTCGCTTTCTTGGTGCCCCAGGGCTGGTAGAGGGGAATTCAGGGGGCATTGCTCTTCATGGAATCTCAGAGGGGTTTGGCTTGGAGGGACCTTAAGGCTCATCTCATTCCACCCCCTGCCATGGACAGAGACACCTTCCCCTAGCTCAGATTGCTCCAAGCCCCATCCAACCTGGCCTGGAACACTCCCAGGGCTGAGGCAGCCACAGCTCCTGTTCTCCCTGTGGGGAGATGTTGGTTTGAGGACTTGTGGCTCTGAATTTGTAAGCTTGATAATCACTCAGACCCTGAAACTCTTGGGGTGAACCTCCTGGGATAGAAGTTCTGGAACTGGGTGGGGTGGGGTCTTTTCCAATCAGAAAAGTGTGTCATGGTGTTACCAGATATGGGGAAATGAAATGGGCTGTTGAAGCTCTCCCAAATGACTGGCACACCGGTGGCCCAAACCTCCACCTGCCCAGTGCTCACTAGCAGTGCTGCTGCTTTTCCTCTGCAGAAGTAACACCTAAGCAAAATCTAGTTTACAAATTTACAATTTAATTGTAAACTTCACAGTTTAAAAATCACAAAAAATTGCAATTTCTGTAGCTCCTTTTGAAGTCCAGCCTGTTTCTCTGAGTGTTACCTGCCCGTGCATTCTGCATCCTCTTGCATTGCTGGGTTGGCATTTAATGGATTAACACAGACCACTCGTGTCTCCTTTGCTGTGTTTTCTGTGGAAAACTGCTCTTTCTTCAGGACTTCTTGGAGGTGAAACTGTGGGAAAGAAGTGGATCCATTCCCTGTATTTAGCTGCTGGGGGTATCACGGTGACAGCTCTGCACACCCAGCAGTGTCAAAGCATTTTACGTGTCACATCTGTCCTGCAGTTATTTAAATTGCTTTAAGTTTGGACAAAAAGGGCAAACGGTTGTGATTTAGGTCTTGTTGGCTGGTTTTTAAAGTAACGTTAAGAACAGAGATGGGAAATGGCCTCAGCACATCTCGGCTGCTCGAATAGCTGAGGTTGGTCCTGGTCCGTGTTTGTGTCGTGCTGCGTGAGGTCAATGTGCTGATCTTAAATAAAACCCCAGTATCTAGAGAAGATCAGAAAGATCCCTTCACTACAGCAGCCACAGGGTTTTTCCTGTTAATCTTCCTCTGGTTTTGTTTCACTCAGGTCACTGTTGTGCTTTCAATTCAAGCTGCTTCATAACCCAAATTAATTTCTTTACAAAGGAGAGAGGTAGGACTCTGTTAAGAAGGTTTTGCACAGGCAAGGTTCCAGCTTGCAGTGTTATTGCTGCCTTTGTAATGGCCTGCAGTTTAAATTTTGAAAAAATTAACTTACAGTGTTTGGAGCTTTTAGTTATGCAGAAGATGAATTTTAATGCTCTAATGTCATTAGGCTCAACAGCACACGTTAGTCAAGCCATTGGTTCTGCGACAGGGGGAGAAAGAGTTCTCAAGCCATGTAAAAGGTGTCGTGAAACTTGGATTTCTGTTAAGAGCTCAGGGCTTCAAGGAAAGCCAAAATCTCTCCAAGGCATTTTTTATGCTCTCTTATGATTTAATGATCTCGAACTATTGCGTTTCTCTGCCAGCCTTTTCTTGAGCAATACTGTTCCAATTCTTTCTTGGAGAGAGGAAGAGAGATTGAAATAACATCATCTGAAGCTCCTTGCTAATTCAGGATCGAGGGATCGTGTGTCTGCCATGTATGTTAGAGAGTCCAGATGTGGAACTCAAGCAGCAAGGAGAAAGGGTTAGGTTGTTGGTTTTGCCTTGGACTAAAGGCCAAGAGCCTTTTATGTTCTCTGGAGTTAGGATAGAGATTGGGGTAAGGGAAACTTCTCTGGGCTCTGCGATTTTAGCAATATTTCTTTGGGAGTCGCAGCAGAACTGTGGTTTTATTGCAGAGCAGCTTGGGCACAAATCATCCCAGTGCTTTCCCTTTAATGGGAGCTGAGCTGGGCTGGCTGGGACCTCCCAGAATAACCTCACTGCTGCTGCACTTCCTCCTGGGTGTCCTTTCCATAGCTGTAACCTGGCCTGCCTGATTTTGGGAAGGAGCCCTTCATCTCCCTCCTCCCTGACCCAGCAGGGCAGTACTGCTGAGACTCACAGGTGTATCCTGTGTTTTGTGACAGAGGTGACAGCTTTTCGGGGGTGAAGGAAGTTATCTGCTTGTCCTCAAGTGCTTTGCAGAACATACCTGATATCCAGCAGTCGGAGAAACAAGACTTCGATTTTTGGCTCTGCCAAGCCCTGTAGGGAGAGAAAATATATTCAGACCCTTAAACATCTGTATCTTCCAGCAATTCTTTCTTAGAGCTCAACTGAACGACTTGTCAGTGCTTGCAGGAAGGGGCTGGAGCTGAGCAGGGCTGACCCTTTGGGCATCCAGGGGAGCCTCTGCTCTTGCTTTTCCACTGGCATTAGGTCTTCAGCAGATTTCCCAGCTCAGAGGCTTCTACAGGAGCATCTGTGTTGTATTTTATGCTGTGTCCTACCTACTCTTCATGCTCTCAGTTGTCTTGGCCTGCACAACAAAGTTGGCGGTTTTAGTGGTTCGGTCTCAATGTCTGTGAGTTACTGGATCCTCATTCCCTGCTCATTAGCATCGTTGGTCCTGCTTACAGCCCCCTACAAAATGGGGGAGATTTGGTGAGTTTCAGCAGAGCATTAAACCCCTGAGAACTGCAGGGTGTTGTACCCAGGTATGTGCTTTCTTGCTGCTCACCATGTTCCTGTGCTGAGCATCCACCCAGCTGTGGGGTTAGCAGGGATGTTTTCACTCTCCTCATTCCCTGCTCATTAGCATCGTTGGTCCTGCTTACAGCCCCCTACAAAATGGGGGAGATTTGGTGAGTTTCAGCAGAGCATTAAACCCCTGAGAACTGCAGGGTGTTGTACCCAGGTATGTGCTTTCTTGCTGCTCACCATGTTCCTGTGCTGAGCATCCACCCAGCTGTGGGGTTAGCAGGGATGTTTTCACTCTGTTGCGAGGGCCAGCAGTCGCTTTTTTTGCCTGCTCAGGAGCAATTATCCTAAGTTTTTCAGGATGGGTGGAGCTGTTAATTTCAAAAGTGGCTTTTAAAATGATTAATCCCTACTGGTCTTCACTACAAGAAGAAAAATACAGATATTATCCCAAGAGGAATTGGAGACACTGTCTGCTGCTCTGGCTGCAGGTCATCAACAGCTGTTGCTTTTTTACTCAGTTCTGGGGTTTCTGTAGCTGCAATGAGGGACCAGCACTTTTCAGGGAACAAACCAGGAAAGCTGTTGCTGGTGGAGTGGAATTTCTACTGCAGAAGGCGTTACCAGAGACCTGAGGCCTTTGATGTCATCATTCTATCCCGGCTGTTATGAGAAGCAAAAAGAAAACTTAAGAGACTGATGTCTATCCCAGGCAGAACTCCTTGGAACACAGGAAGCCAAAGGAGCTTAATACACACAGAATTCAAAGGGCTGTTTCTTGCAGAGCTCATTTATGAGGTGTATTTCAGTGTGAAAATGGAGCCCTGGGACTGCGGCAGGGCCTGGGGTTGCTGAGCTGTGCAGACTGTAATGAGCAGCTTAGGGCAGCAGTTGGAAATATCTTGGAGAAATATCTCCAGCACCCAACTCAAGAGGCAGGAACATAAATCAGGTGTTGCCTTTTCCTTGATTTGCTGCCATAGCCACTGGAATATATTTCTCATGAGCTGGAAGGCAATGGTGGGTCTTTGCTTTGGTTTTTCATGGCATGTTGGCTAAAAAAAGTAAAACTATAGGAGCTGGAATTAATTTATGCTTCGCAGTTGGCCCCCACATCAGAGAGGAGAGGCCTTCTGTCTTCGCTGGATGGGCTGTGGAGTCACTGGTGGGTAGTGCCTGTGGGAAGATGTTCCACTGCGGAACGTGATGCAGCTGGAGAAATGGGCTGAGGTAGTGTCAACCCTGCTGAGCAGATTTCCTCGGTGGTGATGTTATCACCGGGAGTGGTGTCCAGGATAGCCTGGAAATAAGGGTTTGTTCCTCTTTCCAGTCCTAATGTAGTCCCTGATTGTCACTCCTTTTGTCTCCCTCTTTTTTGTGAGCTGTGGGAAAGAGCGAGGTCAGTGTTGGCTGGATCTGCTGGGGTAGGGTCCCACAGGATAAAATGGCCATCTGACAGGCCAAAAACATGCTCTAGAAGTGTGAATGCTGGCAAAAATGGACCTGCATTTGGGCAGGAATTAAATCGTTGATGTGCACATGAAGATGCTCACCTTGGGGACAGGAAAACTGAGAGGAAGAACAGAAGTGTCCAGAGACCTCCCTTGCTGAGAGCCAAGTAGACACATCACTCTGTAATCCATATGGCTTATGCAGTGCCTTGGGGCTGAAGCTCCATGTTCAGATGGGTAACGCAGTTGTCCCACTGGATCTGGGGTTTGGGAGGGTTGACACTTAAACTCACTTGGTTTTCTAAGCACACATTAGTGTAAGTTCTCCATTGAGTCAGTTCCTGCAGAAGAAGCAAGAACTCTATGGGAAAGAAAGAAACCTGATGTCTGCTATTTTAAGAGGGGAAGATTGTGCAGTGTCTCTGGAGATCCACCTGGGCAGCTCTGCCCCACGGTCAGGGGCTGCTATGGACTATGGGCTGCAGAAGCACCAGGGGATGGAAGTCATGGCATTCAAGGCAAAGCTCACTCAGAGGGCTTGACAGGATCACAGACTCTATAGAGCTTTCTTCTGCCAAAAAAAGGTGGAAAAAATGTATTCTTGAGCAGCAGTAATGTTAACATCCTGATGGCTGAGGAAGGAAACGCCCCAGACCCGTGCCAGCCCCAAATCCGTGACCCTGAGTTTACTTCTGTGCAGCTAAAAATGAAACTTGACACTGTGGATGGTTTTCATGGTTTGAGGTTGAGGAGAGAAATTCTGTCAGATTAAAAACTTTGGGGTTAATCAGTTACATCACTTGGCAGTGGCAGGATGTAGGTTGGTCCTGTGCAGGTGTGAGGTCTTCTTGGAGAGATCCCTGGGAACTGTGGAAGTGGTGTCACCAGAAGACATCGATGTCCAACCTGAAAACAGCATTTGGCCTTTGAAAAGTGCTGTTTTTACTGAACCTTAGCAGATTTTGTGGTGGAGGAAGCTGTGGAGCCCCACTTAGATCCTTGCTTTGCTACATCCCAGAAATCACCACCTGCATGGACACTTGGTCCTCCCCAGCCTCTGTTTCCCCCAGGACGGTGGGAAGAGCTCGGCTGGTCCTGCCAAGGATGCTGGAGCTGCTGTGAGCAGCAATCAGAGCTGATCCTGGTTATGTAAGGCAAAGCCGTGTTGCAGTCTGTGCTTGGCCCTTCCTCTCCTCTCCTGTGAGCCCCAGGAAATTCAGGCTCCTGCTGGGGCTCTGCCCTGCTCTGAAAGCCTCTCCACAGGGGCTGTGATGGATGTGGCGTGCAGGGCTTGGAGCTTGCGATGATTTTTGCAGCTCCTCCGTGAGCCATCAGTTCTGTGGGTGACCAAATGTTGTTTGAGTATTTAAATTAGACATTGTTTTATTGTTAACCTTTGCTTTTGGGGTGTTCAGCATGAAGGTGAATATCTCCTCTCAGCACCGATAGCTCCTGTTGTGCTCTGGGTTGGGCCCTGTGTGTTGGCTGCAGTGATTCCTGTGGGAGTTTTTGGCATGTCAGCAGGTCCATGGTCACGCTCCAGACAGGGAAACGCTGTGAAGAAGCCACTGAGGCTCGTACATACCTTCTGGGGCAGTGGAAAGGCAGCAGATCCTATTTCCTCTTCACCCTTGGGAACAAAGTTGGCTGTTACTAGCTGTTCTTTTTTATCCATAGTGAAGAGCCTTCAAAGTTGTGATTTATTGTGATAAAATATATGCATGCTGGGTTTTTCCACAGTTTCTGCTGGAAACCAAAGGCTGGAGATGGAAATCTGTTTGCAGTAAACTCTAGTCACAAAATCAATCCTATTTAGACTCTGTTAACCAGGTGTGTGTGCCTGGGATCTGAATTCAAGCTGGAAGCACTTGCCACAAATGAGGAGCATATTGGTTTAATGCGTTTGTCTCCTCTTAATATATTGTGTGGTTTCTTTTACCCTTTGAGGGGGAAAGTGATTAGAGTAAATCACTGCTGATCTCAGTAATGTTCTGTGGTGTTTCCCTTGACTCAGTCATCCAGGGAGGTTAATGGATGGAGGAATCTTGAACCTGCTTTTAAATTGAAGTATAAATTCAGCTTGGAGCAGAGCTGCAGGATTGGAGTTGTCCTTTTGGATGAGATACTGGAGCTTTGAGGCTGTTTATGGTTAATGTTATAATGTGTTATAATTCTTGAGAAAAACCTGTTGAGAACAACCTTCCCTCCCAGCTGATCCTTCCAAAAAATTGAGTTTCTGAAAGTGTTTTTGGCCCTGCATGATCCTCGTGCTGTCAGCAATGACCTCCTTGCTACCCTGAGTGCCATTATGACCTTGAATGAGCAAGTTGTAAAACAGTTCCTGTGTTTTAATGTCATTCTGATGATTGTTACTACTGCATTGAAACCAAAAGTGGTTAAATCAAGCTGAATCCTCCACAAGGCTTGCGACTGCTTCGTTTTCCTGTACCTCAGACCAGGCTAGAAGAGGGAAGTGCCTCAGCCACGGCCACGTTAGCTCCGTGTGATTTCCTGTCGTAATAGATGCACAATTTCATTGCAGCCCAAACAGCTGTAACTGCACCAAAGACGTGGAAGAAACCAAAAGACCGGACCCAAGCCACTGATGAGGTGACAGAGGTGGAAACGGAGGTAAGAGGGAACCACAGTCCTGCTCTGCCCAAATTTAGAGATGAAATCTTTAAACTGTATTTTAGAGATATGCTTCCTCGTTGTTTCACATTATCCAGGGCAGAGTTTTGGGGGAGGAACTGTGATATTCCACAGCATCCTTTAGATAACAGGTTTTAGTCTGTTCCCTGTTAAGCTTTTCAGTTTTCTTTGGTTTTGCCTAATTTACCAACTCATAGAATCCCAGGCTGGTTTGGGTTGGATGGGACCTTAAATTCCATCTCATTCCAACCCCCTGCCATGGGCAGGGACATCCTCCACTAGAAGGTTGCACTAGACTACCCTCAGTCTCCCAGCATTCAGGAACACATCACTGCTGCCCTCCAAGTGAGGGGTGAGGTCACAGTGCTGCACTGCCACGTGTGGGTCCCAGGACACCACTGTGGCATCTGGCAGGTTCTTCTGCACAGGGTTGTCATGGTCACAGGTTAGTTTCCCTGATGAGCAGCTGATGGAGAAGCAGAGCAGGGAAGACACTGAAGTTCTCAGGCAAAACCAATTTGACAGTGATTGAATGAGTAACAACAATCTCCCTCACTGCCATTCTCATAGGGATATTGCAGCATGGAGCTCTGCGTTTAATATCCTGGGTCAAGTTCAGGGTCAAATTGATCAGAAAGGGAGCAAGAGAGTAAAGCTGTGAAAATGCAGAGTTCCCAGTGCACAGATAAAAGCCAGTGTTGGCCAGGGGTGATGCAGAGCAGGAGAGCAAGGAGCATCACTGGGGCTGCACCTGCAGGTTCAGACTCTGTGTGTTCCTCATCCAGCACTGGAGGAGTCCTGACTCCTGCTCACCCAGCAGTGCCACCCACGGATTTTCAGAGTATTCCCTTGAAAACTCTGCAAAAAAAAGCATTTTAGGATGTGGTGCCCTCAGGTAGGGAGGCAGGAGGATCGGAAGCCTCCTCCAGAGCTGCCTCGGTGAAGTTATTCCTTTGTTTAATGCTCAGATGTGCCAGGATTTCTCCCAGGAGAAGCGCGTTCCGACGCCTCCTCCATCTGAATGCACAATCAGGCTGTGTCCTTGGAGAGCTCTAAAATTAACAGCCAGGGATACTAATAGTGCTTTTCCCTGAAACTGAGATGCTGGAATTGTGGCTGTATCTCATGTGACCTTCTTTGGTGGGATCTGCTCCAGTTAGCAATGTGCATTTAAAGGAAGGATCGCCAAATTGGGTGCCATGTGCCCTTCACCATGGATGGTGGGAGAGCAGAAAAGCAGAGTTCGTGCAATTGCTCATGGCTTAACAGTTCCTTCCATCCAGTCCCTTGGGGATTTCATGGGCACTGCTGAGTCTTTCCATTTGTGCTGTACGTTATCAGTGGGTTATCCATGGGAATGAACTGATGAAGCACCTGGTGGCTCCCTGAATTGGGTGCCATGTGCCCTTCACCATGGATGGTGGGAGAGCAGAAAAGCAGAGTTCGTGCAATTGCTCATGGCTTAACAGTTCCTTCCATCCAGTCCCTTGGGGATTTCATGGGCACTGCTGAGTCTTTCCATTTGTGCTGTACGTTATCAGTGGGTTATCCATGGGAATGAACTGATGAAGCACCTGGTGGCTCCCTGTTCCCTATCCC